GACCTGGGAACGTCTCGGAGTCCCCCAAGACGAGCTGGAAAGTGTCGCTGGGGAGAGGGATGTTATATTGTTAGTCTAAATTATTACATTTAAAATTATAACTCTAATTCAAGCAGAATATCCTATTGTCAAGATAATCATAGAGTGTAATTTATTTTCAACTCAAAATATCTTCAAACTAACGAAATATATAATTATTAGTGAAGAAATCCCGTCTGGATAACAGCAGACTGACTGCTCGTAAAATATACGACAGGTCTGGGACACAAGTGAATTTTGTTCGTATCTGAAAAAAATCTTAGAATACAAAAACATTGGTGAATGCCACAAATTCTCCTAAATCACTCGTACGCACAACTTAAGAACAAATCTGTGCGTATGAACGGTCCTTGCATGAGGCCCAATGATTCTACAACTTCATAACAGAACTACAGTTGCAGAATAGAAGCTTAGTTTTTAACTTATATTTATATTTTAAATAAAAATGTCTTGTTGGAATGAACATCAATGCCACGAGGTTCTGTCCAAAATCAAACAAGTCTCTGTTTCTTCCCTCTCTTACCCTTTTCTGTGTTTTTACTCTTTACAGAAAAAGCATAAAGATGTCAGAGATGCTTATAAGAACTCACTGTGAGGTATTTGATGTCCAGCTCCAGCTTCTGCTCCAACTGGGCCAACATCTCTGAGTGAAACAGCTTCAGCTGGTTTTGAATGAAATTACAATAAACAAGTTGACTTCCTGAAGTTTTTGGTCACCTTTTCAACCAGCTGTGGACTCATGACACTTTAAATAGGTTATTTAATAAGACTGACCCATACCAAGGCTCTTTAATTTGTGACAAATTATTAGTGTTTTTTATGACAAAAGAAATGAGAATGTTAGTCTGTTCTTACCACGTCTTCCAGCTGAACCTGAATCTGTCTGTGAACCTCGGCCATTTGAAACAACGTGTCTCCTGTGAGGACGGATTAGGCAGATTTAGTTTTTTAGTCTTCTAACCCTATATAAATTATTTTTATTATTATTTTTAACTCATATTTCTAAATCCTACAAGTAAGCCGCTGAGTTTGATTTTCACTCATTTTACTCAAGAGAACTGCACTTTCCTTTTGGCAGACTGTTGTGATGTATAATCCTGCTCTTCATTCTTTTTTTAAACATGAAAAAAAGATTACTTCACTGAACATTCATTTAACTGCACAATTAAACAATAACAAAATTCATTCTGTGAGCTTTTCAGGTTTTTATGAGGTCCTTGGTATCTTTGGGTCCCAGGTAACTGCTTACCTAACCTGTTTTTGTGAGAATCATAAAATATAAAAGGGACCCAAAATTTGATAACACATTAAATTAAATCATTCGTGTCAAACTCAAGGCTCACAGGTCAAATGTGGCCTGCCAAAGCATTTTATGTGGCCTACAAGAGAGTCAAAGATGCCTTAATGTCTTAAAATAAGCTGCTTTAAAGCTAGCCTCGACCATAAACCACATCTCTCAAAATGCATATTGATTATTTTACCCACAGAATGACGACATCCCACCATTAAGTGGAGCTGAACAGGGTTCAAAAGTAACTGGCAGACAAAAAAAATTTGCTGTGTAAAATCTTCATTTAGTTGCATTTTCACCAGCTATTTTTGCTGCAGCCCAGTTGTACTGGGAAGTGGTTATTTACCTCTTAGAAATCGCAAATTTGAATTGGAACACCCTGTTGGAAAGTGGGAGAGTTCAGAATTCAAGATGGCAGCTACTCACCTCAACTCAACAGTGAGTAAAACACTCTTACTTTTACATTTAATAGTATTTCGGTATTATTTATTTCCCATTTAGTCAGTCATACATGTAGCACCTTTCAGCATTTATAAGAGGACATGATACAATGCTGTTTCTATGCAGGAAATACCACATAGAGCTCAGTTATTGTTTGTTAGCTGTGCTCAGCCGTTGCAATGAGACAACGTGACGTTTCATGTTTAGTCGCAGTTAAACAGGAAACATTAAATTACAACTGGTTCTTTGATGACCACCATAATGATCATGTGGCCCTCAGTGAACATGAGTTTGACACCCCTGCATTAAACACACGCTTTGTTAAAGGCCACACATGAATAAATTCATGAATAAATTTGCACCTTTTTATCACAAATCAAGCTAAAATATGTGAAAGGTTGTTTCTTTGAAACAGTTTTCAGATCAACAAAGTGGCGGTCAGCTGCAGGCCCCTCCCTCGGTCACACGGCCCTTGTAGTATGTGGTGGCTGGCATCTCGCCTTCCGACACTCCTGCCTGCCTCCCCCGCCGTTTTCAGCATTACAATGAGATCATGTGGTGTTGTTAATCTCCCAACAATGGCCCCACTCTCTCCCATTTTCCCTCTGTTCTCTGCCTCGACATTTCCCCGTCCTCGCTTCATCTCCTCACGCACGCAGCGCTTCTCACACACACTCTTCATCAGCTGTCATGTTAGTAATTACAAGCACTTTATTTTCTCCTCGCCACCACTCACCCAGCTCTTTGGAACCTTGGCTGTCGCTTGCCAGCTCTCCGAGTTTCACCAGAGCATCAAAGTAGCCTTTAGCTGCCACAGTCACTCCTGGAAAAGAGAGTAAATGTGAAAAATTAAAAACCTATCACCCATAGCTTTTCATGCAACAGTTTTAAAACTAATATTTGATCTTTTTTTTTCGTTTTATCAAACAGGGTTATAAGGTTTTAGTAAAATCTTTCAAATAATGTTATACGAAATCTGACAAGGTATTCTGTGTTCAGGAGGACTCTCAGCTACTTTCACAACAAATTTCAGCCCAATATCTGAAAGACTAATTGAGCTGTAGTCCTGTGTGTTCTGGATTAGCTGTGACGGGTATCTTAAAATGGGTTGACTCCAAAAGCGTCACACACCCACACACACGCATCTAAGGTTTTGCTATTTTTGTGTGAACTTGCAATGAGTTCTAATTATTTCTACAGCCTAACTCTGACCCCTTACCCTAAACCTAACCACATACACACCTGACCCTAACTGAAAAAACAGTGTTTACCCCATGTGTGGACCAGGAAAAATGCCCTCATAAGGGTGGTCTAATGTCAAAATATGTCCACACAAAGATAGCAAGACATGCGCACACACATACACATAGAGCGATAAAGACTCAGTCCAGACCTGTCAGAGCTCTCTCATAGTGTTTCCCCATGGTCACAAAGTTCTTCAGACTGGGGTTGAACTGGTCCAGAATGCCCTGTTATTTAAAACAAACATTTAATTCATGAACAGCTTTTGTTAACTGGACCCGTCATCAACTGAAGATAAAGATAAAACGCTGCAGTTTTCACCTTGTAGACGTTCTCCGTCATCTTGTTGACCTCTTCGGTGCGAGACATTTTCTTTTTCTGATGCAGATCTGCAGCTGCTGGATTTATGCTTGTTTGATCCTTTTATTCTCTGCTGTCTAACAG